CAAGGTCCTGAGTTCGATCCTTGGTACCAAAAAAAAATAATAATAATAAAGATGGGCTTACTGGGACACAACCCCATTGTAAGCTAAGACAAAGCCTCTGACACATTGTAAGTTAGAGCCTTCACTGTTTTATTCTTTTCCTTGGTATCTAAATCTTGTATTAAAATGCCTGTATTTTCTAAAATGGAAATGACTTCGTTACTTCTATATATAAAAGCAGTGTGTGTTAAGTTGGTTCATATATTACAAAGCATAAAGTGAAAGTTCCCTGAAATCTCACCTTCTAGAGATAAACACATTAAGTTGATGAATATATTCCTAGACATTTTTTCATACATATATTTATGTATAGTTTAAACAGTAAAACAGAATAATGCACATATCTTTCCATATTAATGCATTTCATTTTTCACTGGTAGCATAAAATTCCACTGTATGGGTTACCATTTATCAACCCTCTCAGTGAACACTGAGTTATGGATTTTTTTTTTTCACTGTTACAAGCAGGTTGCTGAGTTGAGAGGATGTTTTGTGGTGTTAAGAGTTGTTCCATCTCATTTGGTGTTGGTTACAAAAAAAAAAGTTTAAGCATGTTTAAAAGCCCTCAGAACTGTACACCAAGAGAGGAAAAAAGGTGTGTGGGGGGGAGTCTTTACTGTATGAAAATTCAAAAACTAAAAAGTACAATCTGTATTGCTGAGTATATGCCATTTTAACTTAATCTAAGTCGCATTCCAAAAAGGTTATATAATTAATACTCACAATGTAATATTTCATTTCAGAATGTAAAGATACCTGTTTTTCCTAGCCAGTCAGTGCTGAATATTAAGTTTTAAAGTCTTAAGCAGGTGTGGTGACACATGCCTATAATCCGAGCACTCTGGGAGGCTGAGACAGGAGGCTCACAAGTTGGAATCTAAGCCTGGGCAACCTATTGACTTAACAAGGTCCTGTCTCAAAATTTCAAACAGAAACAACCAAGTTTAAAATGTTTGCTTAGTTTAATACCTATGAAATATTTTAATTTGCTATTTTATTATAAGAATTGAACCATCTTTTTATGTTTAATTGGTCATTTATATTTCTGTGCCCTATTTTTAATCCTTTTTGTTGTATTTTGCAAATTTTTTCGTTAATTTGGAGTTTCTCTTTTAATTGTGAATATACTGTTTTTAATCTCTGCCTTAAAGAACTATAAAATTTTTATGTCCTAAGTCTATTTCTTGATGTCATGCTAAGAAAAATCCTTCTACCCCTTGAAATTATAAAAGTATTCTGTAGTATTTACAGAATTCTAGAATATACTTTCCAGTTATTTTTCTAGTTTTATTTTCTCATTGTTTTCTAGTTATATATTCTAGATTGGGGGGTGGGTACCAGGGCTCAAACTCGGGACCTTGTGCATGCGAGGCAGGCACAGGAACCACTGAGCTAAATCCCCAGCCCATTCTAGATTTATCTTTTGCTTTTCCATCTTTATCTGTAGTTTCTGAAGACTGCTATAACGAATTAACACAAACTTAGTGGCTTAAATCAACACAAATGTATTCTCCCACAGTTCTGGAGGCCAGAAGACCAAAGTCAAGGTGTCAGTAGAAGCCCTTGGGACGGACTCAATCCCATCCATTTCTGCTTTGTATTCTAACTCATATATATGGGGATCTGTCTAGATATTCCTGTTTCATAGATTTTTTTCTGTCAGTTTCTGTGCTACCACCATCTTAATTGTTTTAATTGCTAATAACAGTTAGTGCAAGTTCTAATTCCATTAATCCCCCCAAATAAACTTGTTTACATTTATGAATTGTACAATGAATGTTTCTAGTTCCAACAATAACTCAGTATTTGATTGAAATTATATTAAATGTATAGATTGTAGGTTAAGTACAGGAGAAATAATATTTGTGTAATTGTTATGAAAAGCACTTATTTTCACTTTATTATTACTGATACTTAATGCTTATAAAAGTGTTGACTTTTATGTATTTTATCTGGCCATATATTGAATTTTCTTACTCATTTTATTAATTTTTAGGTTTTTAAATTTTAGGAAATGTATAATTATAAGATCATTAGCAAATAAGTGTGATTTTGATATTCCTTGTCAGTATTATTCATCACATTCTTCTCTTACTATATTGGCTCCAAAACAGCTTTCTTGCAAGTTGTAATTTGAATGAGAGTCCCTCACTACTGGGCCAGACCAGTATTAAGCAACTAAAGCAGCTGGCAAAGCTCTCTTCCCACAGTACCACCAGACCAAGATGGTTTTATAGCTCATTTCTAAAAAACTATCACGTAAAATGGTTGTTAATGGTTTCTAATAAATTCTCTTAGGTTTTACCTAATAAATTTTTATCAGAAATACCAAATAATTGTTCAAAGTTATTAAACAGAGTATAGAGTTTTGTTTATTCTTTTAACTTAGAGTCGAACCATCCTGGTATTTCCAGAATAAGTTATACTGTAATTAGCCATGTTCTGTGTACTTGCTCTGTATACTCTTGGGTTTAATTCAGTTTAATACAAATTCTTTGCATCTATATTCATTGAAATACATGGTTCCTTTCTTGTGTTTTATTGAATTTTGGTTATCTAGATTATGCTGGCCATGAAATTGGCTGTTTTTGTCTGCAGTACTGGGGATTGAACTCAGGGCTTTTGCACTGAGGTATGTCCCTATCCCTTTTCTATTTTGAGGTCTTGTTAAATTGCCTATGCTGGGCTCTCCAACTTGGGATCCTTCTGCCCCAGCCTCCCAAAGTGCTGGGATTTCAAGTGTGTACCACTACACCCAGCTGCTTCAGAATAGTTTAGATAACAGGTATTCTGTTCCTTAAGGTTCCTCTCCCCAAAAAGTTCCCTCGTTCACCCCACCAAGTTATCATCTTTGTTTTTTTTGTAACACTTACTACTAACTTATTTTATTACACACTTAATCGATCACTTATGTTGGCCTCCATTAGAACATAAGCACCATCAAATCAGAGACCTCTTCTCATGTCAACAGTGTCTGGTGCCTACTAGGAACTCAGTAAATACCTTGAATTAACAAAAGCCTAAAACTAAGCTAGAAAGGTGGATATACTTAGATACTAATATTCATTTATTCAGGATGAACAGTGACATATTCACAACTACTGAAACTGTCCTGGGATTAGTTTCAGTGTTTCATTCATTCTAAACATTTCCTTTTTTGCAGGTGATCAGAGGACTGCTGAAATTTTGGCCAAAAACATGCAGTCAGAAGGAGGTGGGTTTTGTTAACTAAAGCAGTATGGTTTAGGAGAATGTCTCAGTCCTGGGTCTGTAAACCTGGGACTCTGTCGCTGCTGCTGCTCCTGCTCCTGCTGCAGAGAGCTGCCATAGGAGGCCTGGTAGAACATCTGTGCTTATTACAGCAAACATAAACCAGCCAGATCTTTCTTTTTTCAATTTATAATTTATAGATTTCACCTCATTTGTTTCTGTATTAAATAATACAACATATTATTTTTTTAATGAAATTTTTTTTACTGTAGGTGATGTTTTTAGGAGAAATTGAAGAAATCTTAGATGTCATTGAGCCAACACAGTTCAAAAAAATTGAAGAGCCACTTTTTAAGCAGATATCCAAGTGTGTCTCCAGTTCTCATTTTCAGGTATGGTGGTTTCAGCGACATCATTCTTACTTTATAATTTCTTTTCACTTTGAATTTTGACATTTCTAAATGTCTTTTAGGTTGCAGAAAGAGCGTTGTACTTCTGGAATAATGAATATATTCTTAGTTTGATTGAGGAGAACATTGATAAAATACTTCCAATAATGTTTGCCAGTTTGTACAAAATTTCCAAAGAACACTGGAACCAGTAAGTATTGTAATGTTGTTCATGTTTTTCTTGTGTTCTTTTTAACCTTTTTGTCAGTTGATTTCTTTATATGAAACCTATACAGATTTGGAACTTACACCAAAGGTTAACATCACATAAGTTTTATTCTGTTCTATGTCTTATATACACATAGCTTTAAAGTTGTAAATGTATGTATGTATGATCTTAAATTCAGTGGAATATCAGACCCCTCCCTGAAGGGCAGTCAGTTGGCATAACAGTGTGTACCTGGTGTGGCCAGCCCCAGGTGAGGACACCAGCTGAGACCCTCTGTGGAGGATGACAGGGCTGTGTAGTACATAGTTGTGCCGATCCACCTCCAGGACAAGGTCTTACCTCAATAGGACCATTGTCCCAGTGAGAAGAGTGTTTATGGCCATGGTAATGTGTAAACTGAATATTCTCTCCATGGAACATCCTTTTGTTCTCTACTTCTTTCAAGTAAAGGTAGTTGGATAATTTTTATGTTCTCTTAATGTTGTTACTCTTGGTTTCAGATACGACACTCTAGCACAGAGATGCAGATATACACAACATTGTTTAGCTAGAATTTAAGCATGGTAACACAGGAAGGATGTAAGTTTTGGAATCAGACCATCTCTTTTGCTATTGGCTGCATGACTTTGAGCATATTACAGACCTTTTAAACATCAATTTTATCATCTCTGAAGTGAATTAAATGAATAAGTCAGCATTTAACCCATCTTGTAGATGACAGTGTAACATTTCCAGTCTGCTGGCATCCATAACTCAGGACTGGCTCATTTTCATTTCAGGACCATTGTAGCACTGGTGTACAATGTGCTGAAAACCCTCATGGAAATGAATGGCAAGCTGTTTGATGACCTTACTAGCTCCTACAAGGCTGAGAGACAGAGGTATCTGATAGTGTGAATTACACAAATGTCTAACACTTTTGATTTGTTGAATGTGATTCAGTTCAGAAAGGTATCTTAAGTTATCATGCTTATGAAGTCAGTTACATTACAACAGGCATAGTTTGAAAGTTTCTGAATACTTAAGTCATTTCGGGTAAGCTAGCCCAAATGTTTTTATCAATTTGTTAAGCATAAAAAGGAGTAACATTAAAGTTGTTGCATAATTTACTTTCCCTAATGGTTAGATAACAATTTTAATGTGGATCATAAATCCTCTGTTTAATCTCATTTTGAGTTTTAGATTTCATCAGTCTGGTAACATTTGCACATGAAATAGTTTGTGGTGAATTTTAAATACCAAATTTATACAGTTTGATTTCTTATATTTATGAACATCACTTGTCCACGATACTTCACCTGTTCCTATCTAATGCTACAGTTGCCAGAAAGTGGTGTTTTAAGGTCGGCGCAGTTCTCCTTTGGGAAGAGGATCTGACATGCTCTGGCTCAGGTCTAGCAGCAGTATGGGGTTCCTCGCATGATGCACATTTTTAATAGGATAAATGATAGTCCACATCGGCCTTTAGGAACATGGCTGATTGATGACCTCTTTGAGAAGTTAAGTAGCACTGTTCAGGCAGGAATAGAAACTAGGCACTTGATTTGAATTATAGGAAGCAACAAGAAAGATTAGGATCACATGAAACTTATATCTGAAAATGTATTTCATGTAACCATTATTTTGTGTTATCTGTATAATCCTTTAAAAGGATCTGTTGTGTTAAACTATAACCACAGAAATATAAGCCCATGTTTTACATGTTCATATAGCCTTTGAGAATAGTCTGGTCTGAGTTATTCAGAAACGTCTCCTTTAGAATTGAAATTAGGTAGTTGATGCAACATACAAAATGCTTTGACTTTCATCTGTCACACAAGAGACAGAGAGGGTAAGATGCAAACAGGGTGGGGGCTGGAGGGATGGGCAGAAGGGTGAATTCTGCAGGTGAGAGGCCAGCACCTCTAGGCTTTCAATCTGTAACGTGGTCCAGACCACTGCAGCCACTGCAAGAAGCTGGCATGAGAAAGTAACACAGAGCCCCTTGTTCACAACAAAGCACAGGTGTGGGATCCACGGGGAGGGAACACAGGATCATGCTCAGCTGGTACAGGAGACACTGACTACACTGAGGACAGTGACGAGAGCACCGCAGCTGCTGCAGACAGTCGGATGCCAGTGCCAGGGTGGAGGGGTTTCCATGAAATGAGGGTCAGCAGTGTATACTGCGGCAACTGCCAGACAGCACCTTTTCTTTGCTCCTGAAATAATTTCTAATCACATTTTGGTTTTCTACAGGGAGAAAAAGAAGGAATTGGAACGTGAAGAATTATGGAAAAAATTAGAGGAGCTAAAGCTAAAGAAAGCTCTAGAAAAGCAGAACAGTGCTTACAACATGCACAGCCTCCTCAGCAGCACCAGTGCCGAGTAGCAACAGCCTGCTTCTCTGTGGGGCGGCACTGTTTTGTACACATTTTAAATACATAAAAACTGCAAAGCAAACCTCATCAGTATAATGTAATTAAAAGGCCAGTCTTTTCTGGCAACTGTAAATGAAAACATATATGGACTAAACGTAGCCCTGTGCTGTATCATGGCCACAGTATATTGTAACCTTTTGTCTAATCATTGATGTATTGCATCACTTCTGAAGTTTCACAGAAATGAATGAACTTTATCATCTATGAGTGAGATAATTATGGGAGTGCTAAGAATTATGACTTGAATTCTTTGATTGTGTTGCACACAGATCAAGTAGTCTGCTCTGTGTATTTTTCCTTCTATAATGTGCTTTTCACACTGCTGCAAACCTTAGCTGCATCCTAGGACAAAGAGTATTTCCTAAAATAAACTAAGGCCCCATCCTTGCCCTGCCCTTCGTCACTCCCGGAAACATGACGGTGGGATTCCTGGCCCAAACCCGCCTCATCAGAAGGAATTCCTGTATTCTGAATATGCATAAAACCTTCCACCTCCAGTCTTTTAAAGCACAAAGTATGAATAAAAGCTGGGACAGTAAACCAAAATTGTTGAGTGCTCCTCACCAACACCCCTCCACCTGCAGTGCCCCAGGGCAAACAGATCAATGGTGCAGCCCAGGCAGGCAACACCACTGCCCTTCGTCCATTCCTCTCCCCCAGAGGCTGCAGGCAGGCCCTTTCCAGGCCTCAGCCCTGCCCACCCCACCCCGGGGTGGAGGCTTCAGGTCCCACGTGTGGTGTTGGGCACTGCTAGTCGTCACTGCCTGGCTTTATTTAGAGGAAATGCAGTAGGCTTCCTCCATAGAGCACTGGAAAGTTGACTCCATGGAGGTCTTGTATGTTTTACCTGGTCAGGTATTTCTCACATCTTTTCCTATCAGAGTACCATTCCAATCTCTTAACTTGCAGTTGTGTGGAAACTTTTATAACGAAAGATCTTCATAGGGGGATTGAGCAGCATTTAATAAAGTCTATGTTTGTATTTTGCCTTACGTCATCTTTGCTTTTTTCAGCTCTAAGCACACACATCCAGGAGAAGCTGTCCTTTCATCATACACGCACAGCGTATTTATAGGAAATCGACAAATGGTAGGATGAATTCTAACTAGGGGAAGATTGTGTGCACGGACTAGGTTTCAGGCACTTACCAAAGAATGTTTTATAGAGTATTTTCACAAAACTCCAGGTTCTAGGATGTCTTGCCATCTTCCTGTCTCTCTAGGGTCACTAGATAGGCTTAATTTTAAAGCTAGTTAGAGACCCAGGAGGACGTTTCTCTTAATCCAGAATAGCACTTTTTGTGAAGGACAGAGACTGGTGGTGGTCGGGGACGGACATTACTGTAATGTTTTCAACCGCTTCTTTGCCAATGGTGAAAAACCAGCCCAGGCCCTGCATAGCACCCCAAGCACTGTGAAAGCGGCCCCTCTGCACTGTGGCCCCAGAAGAAACCCCTCCTTCAGGGCAGTCATTCAGCTTTTACCCTACACTCAGGTGGTAGGTGCAGCACAGCCACCTTGTCCTGGCCACACTCGGGCTCTTGACCCCCAGGACAGACAGACAGTGGGCTGAGAGACAGTGGCCAGCACCCAGGAGAACCTGAAGGGGCCCAGAACAGGCTCTTTCCTCACAGGGTCAGGTCTAAAGGTCCCTTGGTAAAAGACTGAGGGTTATTTTACTGAAGAGCAACCAGAATGGATTTTGACAGGTTGCAGCAAATAGTTTTTCTTCTTTGAATAGATAAAAATGCTCCCTTCTTAATTACCTCTTATATCTAAAGCAGAATTAATAAGTCTTAACTTTCCACAGTACAGTAAATAGTATGTTTATCGAGGCAAATGGTATTCCTGTATTTAATAGTTTTAAGGTGATCTGGGAGGCTTTAGAGGAGGTATTTTTGTGCCGGGTCTCAAAGGCAGGGCCTCATGCATATTCAGCACAAACTGTACCACTGAGCAGTACCCCTAGTCTCTAGAGAAGCTTAAAAAACACACATTTCCATAGTTAATATAAGGGGTGTTTGTTTTTTGAGCACTGGGATTGAATCCAGAGCCTTCTTTTTGAGCTATAGCCCCAGCTCTTTTTGTTTAGTTTTAATTTTTTTTTTTTTTTTGGTACTGGGGTTCAAACCTGGGACCTTGTGCTTGCAAGGCAGGCGGCAGAACCACTGAGCTAAACCCCTGGCCCTGTTTAGTTTTAAATTTTGATGCAGGGTCTCACTAAATTGCCCAGGCTTTCGATCCTCCTGCCTCAGCTCTGAGAGGGCTAGGATAACCTGTGTGCACTACCACACCCAGCTTCCTGCCTAGCTTTGCATTTGCCCTACAGCCCAGTTTTATAAAGAGGCCAGGCTAAAATGCAAATGTTCATTGCTTCTGTGGAGAAAAGTAGCTGGCGATATTTCTTTACACAAGTTCACTTTGAATAATTCAACCAAAAAAAGTTTCTTGATGCTGTTAGACATGAACTAAAAATCCCCTACATACCCATCTGAGTTATTCCTCTTTGGATCAACTAAAGTCAGACTTACGAATTTAGGAAATGCTGCCACATCCTCTTTGGATACAGTAGGCATGTAAATACAGTTTTTAGAACCCTCTGGCAGTTCACACACACACACGATACCTAGTTTTATAGGTACTGCCAAAGGGCAGGGGGCAGCAGGTGCAGGACACAATGCCCCATAGCCAGCTTAGTGATGGGTGTGGCCTGTCCCTCTTCCTGGCCACCTGCCATTGGTTGCTGTGCTCAACCCCCCTTCCCGGGAAGTGGCTGGCACAGCTGCGGGGGGGGGGGGGGGGGGGGGCGCAGGGCCGTGGGTGCCGGAGTCCAGACTCCCGCTGTTTGTGTGGGGCTCGCAGTAGAAAGTGCACTGGTGCCTGCTGACTGAGTACTCATCTCGGCACTCATTCCTTTCGTATTAACCCAACCTTTATCTGTCTGTCAGCGACACCATCAAAATGCACTGGCTAGGCACCTACTGTCCATACCTCTCCTAGCGCTCATTAAACTCACCTGTGTCAACAAAGGTTCCAGCCAGAGAAGCAGGCAGCTAGTTAGTCCAGAAGAAATTTAATCCCTAGTCCTAGTAACTTCAGAGTCTCATTAGCCAATGAGAAAGGCTGTCAGCCTGGACAACTGTCAGTCACAGGGTTTGCCCACCTTTGTGTATAGTGCCAAGGTTCCAAAGCAGGGGCCATGCTTCTTGCTATGATTTTTGGAGAAACAAAACCACACTTTCTTCCTACTTGAAAAACCATAAAAAACTAAGGGAAAAAGTATAAAGCTTAATTACACAGTGAACCAAACAGGAAGAAGCATCTTCCACAAACCTATCCAAGGCAACTCTACACAATGTTAATAATTTAAAACTTAAATACTTGGAGGTCATCCACTGGGTCTCTCCCCTTTCCAGGCCAGCTTGGAAGTTCCAGCTGGACAGGCTGCTCCTCTCTTCGAGGCCCCTTGCTTCAAGTAAGTACAGGAGGGATCACGGGTGCTCGGTGGAGAGGTGGAAGTGGTGGGACTTCCGTGAATGTGGGCAGGTCTGTGCGTGAGGAGTGCTTCAGCTTATGTGGTTTGTTGCCTGGCCTCTTCTTTTAAGGTGTCGCTTCCTAATTTTGATCATCCACTTCACACTCAGCTTGGCAAACTCTGATGCTTTAAATAATGCCAGGAAGGCCCCACAGAGAAGAGCGATTGTGTTCCAGGGATTGGCTGTGATTATCTGTGAAAGAGAAACAAACACAAGGGTACTGGCTGGCTTCACTCCTAAGCCACACTAGTGTAAACAGCACTCACTGCTTCCTGACATCAGGACTAAAGAAAAACACCTGGACCGCAAAACTGTCGGAACTGTATTCAGTCAGATGGAGGAGAAAGACGTGAACCCCTCCCTATAAAAAAGCGATTCTGAAAGAAAAAGAAATGGTTTTTTGAAAATCTCTGCAAAAATATATTCAGTATTGAGCTGTCTTGTTTTTGTTTTTGCCTGACCCAAATATAAGCAATTTTGCTTTGAGGTAAATTTCCGTAGAACTATACCCAACCCATGAGGAAGTTAGTTCCTCTCGTTCCCTTCACCCCTCATAGTTACCCTAAGTCTGCTTCGGCTCCTCCTTCCCCTGCCCATGGCGCTCTCCTCCTATCTCCACTGAGGCACACTTCACCAGCTCTGCGCTTTCTCCAACACCAGGCCAAGACTCCCACTGGGTGCAGCAGAGCTCTTTATCCTACAAACTCCTTCCAGTTATTTACTGTCTGACATTACTAATTTAAAGCAGAAGATTGCTGTCTCACTGATGTAAACTCTTGAGGGTAGAGGTCTTGTGTTGGCTCTGTGAATTCCCAAGCACAGTAAAATTACAGCACTCGTAAGCCCAGTTTGGCGGCATGACCTGAGAGGGCAGGAGCTCAGTGCTGATGTGCAGTGGTCTGGGCAACAGCTCGAGAAACCCTGTCTTGTGTGGGGCTCTGCTTCACCTGCAGCAAGCACCTCATGCCAAGGACTGGGTAAAAATGCCAGAGCGAACATTCCACAGGTAAGGCCAAAGGCCAGCATCCTTCCACCTGTGCTCCTCAGTGACCCTTCCACCACAGCTGTGCCTTCCTCACAGTGCTAAGGGCTCACCTTTGAGATGTGACTCATCTCCAAGGACTCCTACCTTCGGTCTGAAGCTTACATATCTGAGCTCTGCACGGTCTTCCCAAAGCCATGACTGTCAGGACACTGGTAATGGGAATGCCACTTGTTAGTGACTGGCCCAGGTGGTGCTGCGCTAGTAATGTTCCTTCAGCAAAGTTGTCTAATTATCTCTCCCCTTCCAAGACTGTGTGCCTGAGGGCCAGGGATTTAGCTCAGTGGTTCTGCCGCCTGCCTTGAAAGGACCCGAGTTCGATCTCCGGTACCAAAAAAAAAAAGGAACCAAGACTGTGTGCCTGAGAATGTGCCATTAATTGATGCTTTAATTATCTTTACCCTTCTGCTCTGGCTTAGCACAAATAAGTTCCTATCCTACAGACAGCCATTAAGAAAGAATGACTTCTAATAGTAATCTATATGGTAATGCTGTCTATTTGAGTCAATGTCACTATTAAGCAGCTACTGTGTGCTAAGCACTCTACTTGCTACATACAGGTAAATAATGGTGAACAAAATGAGGTTCCCACCTTCACAGAGACAAGTCTAGCAATGCAGACGAGCTCAGTTACACACAGATTACACGCAATATCAGAGTCATAAGCTACAAGCTGTTTCACACTGAAAAGAGGACAGCTAAGTAGCCTGCAGGAATGAGCCCACGTGCAGCACGACAGGGAAGTGGCCCTTGTAATCACAAATGGACTCACATCTTGGACTTTCTGGATGAAAGGATCTTTCCATTCGAAGACCACAAAGAACAGCTGGGCGCTCTTCTCAGCAACCGGCCTCTGGTCATTGTAGTTCACCACACTGGTCTAGACGTGGAGAAGAGAGTTACACTGGGGCCCTCCCCTGCCTGGCCCAGAAAGTGGGGAGCAGAAGGACTCCAGACCATGCCTCTCTTCCCACCACCTTCCGAGTGGGTGTGCACCGAAAATCCTCATTTACAAGATCCTGAGCTGGTACCAAAGCCAACACTCCTATGGTGCCACCGTTCTTTGGGAAACACTTGGATCTGGCATGTACAGGTGGTGCTTTGGATTGTTACTGCAATCTGTTATCAGGCATCCATACTCACTGTTAAGCCATACATCAGAGTCACAAGTAAAAGCAATAAAGATGCCAAATCTTTTTTTTTTTGGACCGGGGATCAAACTTGGGACCTTGCACTTGTGAAGCGGGTAGCAGAACCACTGAGCTAAATCCTGGGCCCAAAAGTGCCAAATCTTAAAATACTTGATCTTATGAGGCAGGTATTTCAACCCTTTGAAGCTCTGCCCCCAGCCCCATACAGCTAAACATCCCTTCAAGCACTGGGAAGGCACACCAAGCCACCTGGCACCATGCTGCAGTGGCCATGCAATGTAACAGGATGGACAGCTCCAGCCCAGCCCTGAGTACGGGGCCACCGTGTGATCTGAGCCTCAGCACTGCCACCGGAGACAGCACAGCACGAGATGCCTGCCCCGCCTCAGCCTGTGGAGGGCCGAGGGAACAACCCAACCTGTGTGGAAGCATTTTAAACTCAAGAACAAGATAAGAACACTATGGAGTTTTGTTCAAAACAGCTCACAACTTCCAACTCGGACAGTAATAAAAGACATCAAGAATAGAGTTGCTAGTGTTTTGGCCTTTGGCTCAGATCACACACAGGTGGTGCCATTAGGAGAGCCAGGCCAGGTGGGATGCACTGGGATCCAAGGTAAATGAATCAACACCTCTGCTGTTCCCAGAGCCTTTGTGGGGCCAGATGAGGAGGACTTGAGTGGGTGCTTGGAGCAATCCGTGGGGCAAAGCTCCAGGTGATGACCCCACCTCCATCCCTGCCACCACGCACCACACCTTCCCACGCCCCACCCCACTGTCACAGGGTCCAGCAAGAGACCCCAGGCCCAGGAGACTCCTGGCTCCAAGCCAGCAGGCCAAAAGCTTTCTGATCTGACTTCCTGTTAGTAAAAAGGTTGGAGTGTGCATCCACACATACATTTATAACTGCACACATGATAGAACATGCACTATTATTGTACTAACGTGTATATTTGAAAACATTCAACAGAATACAATAAACACAAGAAGCAAGCCACTGTTTGCTGCCTGCATCCCAAAGGGTCATCACAGGGCTCTCCAGACACCACTGATGTGGTATCTTTCCTGCAGACCATTTGCCAGGCTGTGGGCAGCAAGCACAGCAGCCGGGTATCAGACACAGAGGGGCAGGTGACCTGAATGGCCTTTCTGTAGGGTGCAGTGATTGCTGCTCCTTGCCTAGGGAAGCCACCAGGGAAGGTGCAGATTCCAGGGTCCCTGCTACTCACCCTCTAGCCCCTGCTGTGAGGGGCCTTTCCTGCAAAGCTTTCCCCACCTGATTCAGGCAGTTCGGAGCCACCCAGAGCCACCTACCTCCTGCCTGAACTCCACCGCTTCCCGCCCGTCCTCCTCCTTGGTCTTCACCAGCGACATCTTGACCCAAGTGCGGAAGCCCCCCGAGAACTTCCAGCTGGAGTAGGCACTCTCGCAGGCCTGCATGAAGCCTGCCTTGTCCGGGCTTGGAGGGAGGGAGAAGGGGCTGCATGAGCTCAGCTGGGGGAGCAGCTGGTCACAGGACGCTGCAACTCCCTGCTTCCGCTCCAGAACGCGCTGCCTCTATGGGGCTGTTCGTGCATCCAGAGCAAAAGTGAGGCCCCTGGCCGCCTCTCCCTGTGGCAGCCTCCGGCAGGAGTGTGGGCCCCATAGCCCGCAGAAGGTGAGCACTACACTCGCCCACTGGTCCCCTTGCTGCATCAACACATGTGTGCGCAGAACCCCACCAAGACCTGCACAGAGAACTCCACAGGCGCAGAGCCCACGGCAGCCCTCACTGGCCTCAGAGAAGGGGTTCCCAGGTAGCCCAGTCAAGGGGACACCCACCACATGGGCCTCCACGGAAAGCGCAGGCCTGGGGGAGCCTCGGAAGGGTCTCCCAGGAGGGAACAGGGCAGACCGGGCTTGGGCAGGGCAGGGAGGGGCTGTCAGCGGCACGGGGGTGAAGTGGACAGAGGCCCCGGTTCCAAGTCGGGAAGGACAAGGAGCACTGGTTGTGGGGGCCGTAGGCAGTCTGGGACTCAGCAGGACCTGGCAGGGAGATGCAGAAAACGCTCCCACTTGAACGAGCACTCTAGGCCCCAAGAGGCCAGCAGTGTCCCCAGAGCAGGGCCCATGGGGGGCGCCACATGCATGGGGAGCAGCTGCTCCTTCACCTGATGGCCTGACTGCCATCTAAGTTGGCCAGAGTGGCCGAGCTTAGGTGGTCTGTTCCTGGGCCAAGGGGACATCTGCAGGACAGGTCCCCTGGCACCCCCTCCACTCCCAGCATGCAACTGTGCGAGGCTGCCTACGGAAAAGCAAGACAGCGAGGCAGCCACCTGTGCAGGAACTCCTGGAAGGAGGAGAAGAGGAGGTAGTCAATGGCGCTGAAGTCCTCATTGCTTCCGTTCAGGCGGAACTGAAGGAAGACCAGCTCCCGCTTCTTCACTTCCTGGGGCCCCTGAACTACCAGGGCGGATTTCTGCAAGGACACAAAGGCCAAAGTTCTGCCCAGGGAGCGCTGTGCAGCCCCTCACCCCAGGCATACAGAGGCTCCTGGGCCCAGGACTGCTGGCCCTGCAGCCTCCAGAGCCCGAGGCCAGACCCTCCCGAGACCCCGGAGAGTTCTGGGCACAGCACCTGGGGTCCACGCGCCACTGCCTCCAGCTGATTTCTTGCTAGCTGCACTAGGGACTCTCAGCTTTATTTAGTAAGGACATTCACTTATCTGTTGTATGCCCAAGTGTTTTCTTCCAATTTACCACATTTCTTTTAACCTTGTTTCTAATCTCACTTGTTATGTGGAAGCTTCAAGCGTAATATAGTGAAATCTGTAAGCTTCAAACGTAATATAGCGAAATCTATAAGTCTTACAGCTTCTTGGCTTTACTTGCTAAAGTAAGCCAAAATTATATCAATATTCTATTTCTTTATAGTACTTTTAAAAACCATTGTTACATTCAGATACTTTATATGCATGACTTCCAGTTTTGTATACAGTGTGACGTAGCAACGTGACTCCTACCTGCAGGATAACACAGACACAGCCGCGTGCCTCACTCCTTTATCCTAGGAGACAGCGAAATCCAGATGTGCTATTCTGCTGGCCCGGCCCTCACACCATGTGTGCCTCTGTCCCACACACCACCGTGATGCCTGCAAGGTCATGCTGCCAGGCAGGTTCCCTCCCTGTGGCTCCTGCCACCCCTAAACGTGTCCAGATCATTTCTGTACTTGAGTTCTGTACGCGTACTTTAGCTTGTTCAGTTCTCCAGAAAGATCTATGAGGACTTTTAACCGTGATGAAACTAAATCGAGGGATTAATGTGAGAAAACCATTTCTTTACATCAACTGTTATAAATACTCTATAGATCACTGAAAAAAGTATACACAGGTGCATACACACACAAATACACACACTGAGTCCATTACATGTGCTGTTCAATTCTCATACTTACTACTGAAGATCTGAGGATGTGCATGCAGGGCATTAAAGCGAAGATGACAGTACTGTTTATTTCTAACAGGTTTTGGCAAAATCCACAAAGGCCCTCTGGGCTGTACACAATCACTTGTGACTTACACGGCAGTGGATAGGACTTGAGCCTCTCAGCATCAGCCAGCCCTTGCTGAGCCCTCTGCACCCGGAACCTCACTGAGGCTGACAACGTCGCCACCCACCCTTCAGGTTGTTCTTCCATTTGTGCATTATTTTCAACCTTCCCATGTACTTTGCCTTAACTGTGACAGAGAAGGCTAAAGGCCCTGTTTCCATCATCCTCCCCTTTATGAGCGGGAGACTGGCTTTCCTGGTCCGGTCTGAGACTGACACTGCAAGTTGCAGCAGCGGGGCCTCCATCCCCAGAAGGTGCAGGAAAGTGATCCATGTGGTCCAGGCCATTTCCTCACCAGAGGGCCATTCGCCCTGCACTTCTCACCTCCTAGGAGCCGTGTGTGCTCCGATGCTTTTGGAGCAGGACAACACCCAAGGGCCAGCAGGGACACTGCAGAAGCCACTGCTGCACACTCCCGCGTGGCAGCACCACCCTGCCCATGCGCCTAGGCTGGTCCGGAGACAAGACAGCCTCTCTCCTGCCAGCCAGTGATGGGGCATGGTCTGTACAGGAATTCAGCCTGCCTCAGACTCCAATCGACACAACCTGTTAGCTGGAACAGGCGTATTATGGTAGCAAAAACCTAGAAATGAGGCACTGGCCTCCCACTGGGTGGCAGGGAAACAGTGAGTTCTGGTGAGGTGACAGAAGCAGATCCTGCAGGCTGGAAAGGCAAGGAGTCCCTGGGCCAGGGAACGGCCATTAAACTGGGAGCACAAGAGAGATCAGAGAGCCAATGAGAGTCTGAAGATCATGGAGTTTGGCCAGGCCAGACCCCAACAGGGCCACATCTGACTGGACTCAGTCTGCACGCTTCCAAAAAAGCTCCCAGAGGGCAGCAGAGGACGGAGACAGGATAACAAGCCACCTCCTCGCCCGTGATGGCAGCCGCAAAGCCACTCTTGAAATGACACAAGCAGAGTGGACGGTGCGGTCCTCCTCCTGTCACTGCAGAAATGGCCACCAGGGGTTAGGACTAGGCAGAGCACCCGGTCTCCAGGGACAGCAGGGGGCTCTAACGAGGAGTCCGCACCAGACAAGGACACGGCCCACCCTCAGGGCCTCCTCACACCGCTGGGCAGGCACCAGGTGCGCCCATCCCTCCTCCCCTGCCCCGGGAGCTTGACTGCTCAGGTCTTAGTCCACCTCCTTTTTATTTTCATTTTTTTCTGAGATAGGGTCTTGGCAAGTTCCCCGGGCTGGCCTCAGATTCCTGGGCTCGAACCATCCTTCTGCTCAGCCTCCTGAGTAGCTGGGGTGACAGGCGTGACAGACGAGGAGGAGGCAAGTTCCCTGTTAGTTCACAGCCAGGGCTGCAGGGAACTGGAGAAGAAAACCAACCACCACCACTCAGCGCTGGGAGCAGCAGCTGCACTTCCGCCCCTCTTCATGGAAACAGTGCTTTGTGCCTGAATCAGGAGCTTGGATTGTTTAGTTACGTCACAAACACGTGGAACAGGCCCGATGGGACACAGAAGTCGCCGAGCCGCCTTGCAAGTGTCCTCACCAGAGGACAGGGAGGTGGCCCCATGGGCACTGTGCCCGGCAGGAATGAGGCGGCTGGGAGTCCAGACCGTTTCTACACAGACACTGCTCTGCATCCGGTTTTCAGAGGCTGCTTCCTTTCTGTGTTGATTCGTTCCTCTCCCCATTCCTGGTGGACTTGGCTTGTCCCCTCAGTCCTTTTCTTCTGCTGCTGGCTTCCCACTTCTGCACTCCCATAGGAGGAAGGGTATGGTGACAGGCATAGGGTGCGGTCTCCCCACGGTGGCCTGTTTCTCTGGGCTTCTCCACTGCACAGGCGCCGCCGGAGAAGCAGGCCTCCACTCGTGTAGGTGCCAGGCTGTCGCCAGACCCAACACCGCCTCAGCTCTGCCTGGCAGGGTGAAAGCTGAGGCCACACTGAGAACACCACGCCGACCGCGGCTGTGCCGGCCAACGGCCGACTCTGAACGGGCACCTCCACACAGCCTCCACAGCTGCCTGGGCTCGGGGCCTCTCTGATTTGCCTGCAGTCAATCAGCCCCAATCTGCTACTTGTATTTTGTTTGTTTTTTGAGACAGCATCTCACTGTATAGTTCAGGCTGGCCTCCAACTCACTATGTAGCCCAGGCTGGCCTCAAACTTGAAACAATCCTCCTGCCTCAGCCTCCTGAGTGCTGGGATTACAGGTGTGTGACAGCACACCCGGCTTGGCTACTTGTATTTTATACCAGCTCCTCAAAATTCTTGGTCTGCCTGTGGCCCTTTCTTAGTTTGCTGGTTATTTCTGATACGCTATCCTATTCTACTCCTATTTTTCTGCAGGGGTAGGAATCATCTGGGCAGGATTTGAGGAGGACGCCTAGTGGGAACAACTGAGTGAAGAAGTCTGTGTGATGCCTTCATCTTGGAGCCTGGCCTCTGGCCCCCCGTCCGTCACCAGGGGAGCAGAGGCTGCGGAGCGTGACACCCGCGCTGCTGCGGCAGAGGAAAACCTTTCCTTCCTTTGCATCTGGAAAACCCTCGTGCAGCCACCACGATCCCTGAAGGATGGGGTGACACAGCCAAGATGTAAATGAGTACGAAGCCCTCTGTATCCTTGGACCCTGTGCAGGTGCCACCCCGCGCAGGCACACTCAGAGCCTCAGCCTGTCACTGCCCCACTGAGCCACCCTGTGAGTGGCAGCCAGGCCACAAGTCCTTACCCCAGCCCCTGACCGATGTGCCTCCTTTACCCTGGCAACCAGTTCCAAATGCCGGACTCGCCTAGAGATCTAGGGTTCTGCCAAGTGGCCAGGCAGGGGGTGCAGCTCACTGCGTCACCCCAACCCCTTCTTCAGCCCTGGCATTGGGGTCAACCTGCTGCCGGGGGGCCCCGGGTCACACACACAGGAAGAGTGGCTTGTGGTCCCCTGCAATGTGGTGAACCAGGCCCAGCCTCGTGTCCACCCCGCACCCAGGGCCCATGCACACAGGGGTGAGGAGGCCCCCGGAAAAGAAAACTGGGGTGCTCGGGGTATGGGCAGGGGCGGAAGTTACCACAGTCTGGTTGGAGAAGGGGTGTGTGTAGTTGATCCTCTGGGTGGTGCAATCCATGTCGCCGGGCTGGCCAGGCCTTGGCAAGGGGGGGACGACCTCGTAGTGGTGCTTACAGCTGAGCAGCTGGGCCTGCCCAGGGTACAGGGCAATACCTGGGCACATGCAGGGGGAGGTGAATTCTGAAGCCACAGTGCCTGACCACGCCCCTCAGAGCACCTCACACCCGCAGCAGCTGTGTCAGGCCGCCCCGTAACGGCCAAGAAGCAGGAAGAGAGGGACTCCAGAGGGGGCCGCAACCATGCCCTCTGCCTGTGGGGGGCACAGGCCCTCGTCAGCACCCTCACCAGCTGGGACCCAGCCTCCTGCCGCCCCCTCCTGCCGCCCCAGGGGCTCTGTGATGGAGCCCAGCTTGCCTGCCCCTGGCTTGTCACCACCTGCGGGTGGCCTGGGCACCTCCGGGCTGCAGGACTCCAGCACTCCCTGCCTCTGACCACCCCAAGCTGCAGGGCCACCTTGGTCCAGCCCTGTCCTCGGCACATGTTCTGGGGGGCCTGACACAGCCTTCAGGTGAGTGGAGGGCCCAGCCCCAGGCAGGCGACACTGGCAGCTCAGGGATGGCCCAGCTGGGCAGCTCTACCTGGTGCGTCGTACCGATCCACCTCCTTGTACGACACGGACATGACGGGATGCTTGAGCTTCTCGCGGAAGTCCGTGATGGTCTGGTAGACCAGGAAGACGGCCACGGCCATGAGCAGCAGGTAGATGAAGATGAGCAGGACGGAGAAGACGTTCTTCAGGCAGGCCTTGCTGAAGCGCAGGCTGTTGGAGGCTGACTCGCTGTCCAGGCCTGAAACAACAGAGCACTGGTGTGCGCCCCAGAGGCTTAGGAAGGGGGCTGAGGTGAGGCGGGGTCCCTGGAAACCGTACTGCAGGGCTCCCCAGCAGGCAGGGCTGCGTGGCACAGGGCCCGTCTCCAGTCTGTGCTCCGCAGGGACAGGCTGTGGGACCCCATGAGGCTCAGCCTACCCGGGTGGCCTTGCCCCTCGCTGCAGTCTCCAGGTCCCCAGCTCCAGCTCCACATGAATCCCTGTCCCTTCTGCAGCACCCGGCTCAATGCTGCAGCTGCTCCTGCCTGCCATGCCTGGGTCCGCAGCATTCCCCGCCCAAAGTGGCCTCCTGCTCTTCCTTTGCATTTGTTTAGAAAGGTGTTTTCCAGGAGCCCTCCCTGACCTGCTCATTTTTGTGGGCACCCCTTCCTCAATGCCCTCGGGCACCCGTAAGTCCCCGACTTCCTCTCACAGCAATGTCTCTAAGTTTTTATTCCCCCAGGCTACCAGCTCCAGGAGGGCAGGCACAAAGCCAATCTTGTCCATAACTGAATCCCCAGGGCTTCTCGCTGTTCAGAGGGGGGCTCACAGGGCACTCTGCCCCACGTGGTGACTGATTAAGTGTGTCCTCATGTCATCCCTGACACGCAGCCCCACCTCCTTGCCCAATCCTGCACCATCCTAGCCCAGGTCGCTCTGCTGTGGACTGAACTGTGTCTCCTACCCCAACCCCTACGGTGCAGCCCCAGGTGACAAGGCCTTTAAGGAGCTAACGTTAAATGAGGCCAGAAGAGTGGGCCCTGATCCCTGTAAGAGGAAGGGACCCCAGAACCTGTACACATGGGAAAGGCCACGTGAGGACGCAGCAAGAAGGCGGCACCTGCAAGCCATGCGAGCCCTCACCAGACACCAGTGCTGCTGGCACCTTGACCCCGGACGTGAGCCTCCAGTAGCTTTCTGCTGTGTAAGGGGCCGGCAGCCTGAGGCGCCATTCCCATGCTCCCCAAGGAAAAGGCCTTTCCTGCCAGCACAGCTGGCACAGACTGGGTGGGTGGGGGTGTGTGAACATACGCCCAAAAGGCCTCTGGGGGTCTCTGTCTTCCAACAGTGACAGCTGTACCACCCCTCCACAGACAACAGTGATAAAATCTGAACAACATATTTGAAATTATTTGAAGGAATTAAAGAACAACCAAAAGCGTCCTCCTTTGGAGGAGGAGAAGTGCAGGGCAGGGGTGAGATCTGTGGATCTGTACCCTTTTGCCTCAGGGTTCGTGCCAACCCCCAAAAGGCAGGGCTCAGGATGGCAGAGTCCAGGCTGGAAGAGCAGTCACAAGGTTGGAGAAAAATCCTGAATGGGAGGGATAGAGAGATGGGATGAACTCCCAAATCCGCAAATAATTAACATGCTCAAGTCATTTAGGGGGATCAAGAGAAAAAAGAGCAGCAGCTGAAAACGGAAAGAAATGAGTGATTCTAGCTGCTGCTAATACAGGGAGACGGGAATTCGAGTCTCGCCATACTAACTACCCGCTAAGACAAAAATTCTTCACAAGAGAATAACAGAATCCAGAATCTCTACAGTAGACGCTTCACAATGTCCAGTGTTCAATAAAAAATTACTAGACAAGGCTGGCGGTGTAGCTCAGTGGCGCCCACGCCTGCCTAGCAAACACAAGGTCCTGAGTTCAATTCCTAGTACCAAAAAAAAAGGAACTGACTAATCTAGAGCACAGCAAATAATAGTTATAAATTGTTACCATTTGCCTAAGATAAGAGCAATAAAATATTTTTTTAATTACTAGACATACAACGAAATGAGAAAATGTGACCCACAGTCAAGGAAAAACCAACCAATACCAAGATAACCAGAGGTAGCAATTAGTAGACAGGAACTTCACACTTAAAGGACCTGAAGGAAACTATATGGATCTAAGAAACAGACGGCGAGTAGAAAAGAACAAAATATAGCTTCAGTGTGTAAGATGAAGAGTTCTGGAGAGAGAGACGGTGATGATGGCTGCCCAGCAGCATGAACCTGTTCACGGCACTGAACTGTACACATAAGAGTGGTTCAGATGGTAACTTTTGTGTACCTAACCACAACATACTTTATTAAATAAAAAAGGGCCCAATGCAAATTCTAAAACTGGAGCCAGGCATGGTGGTGCATGCCTATAATCCCAGCACTTGGGAGGCTGAGGCAGAAGGATCATGAGTTCGAGGCCAGTCTGGGCTACAGAGTGAATTCGGGGGCAGCCTGACTGAACTACATAGCAAGAATCTGTTTAAAGAAAAACTAAAGCTGGAAAAAAAATCTAAATTTACATATAGGTTTAATAGCAGCAGGTGGCACAAAAGTTAAATGCATAGAAATTATCCGATCTGAAATAAATATTGGAGGAAAAAGCAAATGGAATTTCAATAACTGAGTGACAGTATCTTCCAGTTTAATGACATATAATGTGACAGACAAAAATGGACCACAAAAAATACTTGAAAAACTAATGCCTCAAAACATTCTCAAATCAGCTGGGCATGGTGGCACATGGCTGCAACCCCAGCACTGGGAGACTGAGGCAGGAGAGCCACTGTGAGTTCAAGGCCAGCTGGAATACACACCGAGCCCCTAGCTCAAAACAAACAAACATACAAAAATCCCCAAAATGAAGACAAACAGCAACCTACAGACCTAAGAAACTCAACCCATGCCAAGCAAAGTGAGTAAGTAAACCACCTCTAGGTAAATTATAGTCAAACTGCTAATGCAAAGATGAGGAAAATCTTGAAAGCACGGAAAAAATAGAAGAGGATACATTACAGTACATACACAGTGACAAGTACAAATGTCAATTAACTTCTGATCAGTGAATGATCAATTAACTTCTGGAACATCTTTAAAATGCTGCCAGAAAAAAAGTTTTTAAAAATTTTAAGTTTTGTTAAAAATTTTCTATATCCAGAAAAATTTCAAAACTGAAGAAATATATTTTCAAACAAAAATGATGAGAGAATTCACCATCTCCAAACTTGTATTACAATGCATGCCAAAGACAATACTGAAAGCTACAGGAAAGATTCTATGGTAACTCTATGATGTATAACTAAATATAAAGATCAGCTCAGTATGCAGTGCACACCTGTGGTCCCTGCTACTAGAGAGGCTCAGGGAGGAAAATCACAAATGTAAGCCCAGCCTGGGCAACTCAGCAAGATCCTGTCTAAAATTTAAAAATAGGGTCGGGGATTTAGCTCAGTGGTTCCGCCACCTGCCTCACAAGCACAAGGTCCCAAGTTTGATCCCCGGTACCCCCCAAAAATAAAATAAAATAAAAATAAAAAATAGAAAAGGGCTAGGAATGTAGCTCAGTGGTAGGGCACCCCTGTGTTTCATTCTCAGTACAGTATCATGGAAAAAAAAGACCACTGGAAATGCTGAACAGGTGGATAAATAGTAAATGTTACTTATTTTTTTTAAGGCTATCTAAAACAAAACATAAAATTTACAATATGTAGGAGAAAAAGAACAGAAACATGAGACAAACAGAATATGGCAAGATGGTAGAACCATACCCAGTCATATCAATAATTACATTACATGTAAATGGACTATCTTGCCAATTAAAAGGGAGAGACTACCAGCCAAGATTAAAAATAAGATTCAACTCCCCCTCCCCCAGCGCACAGGAGGTGAGCCGCTCCCAGCGCCCAAGAGGAGGCTTCAGGGCTGAAGTACCACCCCCTCCCCCAGGGCACAGGAGGTGAGCTGTGCAGGCGCCAGCAACACCCCCCACACCTCCACCCACCCCCATCAAAATGAGAAGACACGAAAACAAGTCCGAAAACCAGACATCCAGATCACCAAAAGCAACCCCAAAGGGAAACAAGATGGAACACTCTGATACGCAACCACCTGGACTCCCTGAACTGGCAACAAAAGAGGATCTGGAAAAAATAATATCAGAAATAATTTCTCAGGTAACAGCAAAGATTGTGCTCATAGGGCAAGACATGATTAATAAATCTAGAGAAGACACAGATAAAAAAATAGAGGAACTGAGGAACATGATGGAATCCCAACATAGGAAACAAATGGAAT